GGGTTTCCTCAAAAAAAAAAAAAAAAAAAAAAAAACTTTTTTTTTTTTTTTTTTTTTTTTTTTTTTTTTTTTTTCTGGCAACTGGAAAAAAAACAATGATTTTCTTTTTTCCTAAAACACAATTATTTTACAAAATCAATAACTGTCAGACAATATCGATGGTAACTTTAGCTGGTCCAACAAATTGAACTTCCAATTATCTGTCAAATCTGATCCTTTTTATTTGACTTCTGCACATTTTCTACTTTCTGATTACAATGATGTTCAAAAGTTAAATTTAATGATTAAGAAACTTTAAAAAATTATCCGAAGAGTCAATTTAAACTCACTTCATATGATTTTTAAAACTGCAATCAAATTACCTGTGATGGTTTTCAGTCAGACTGTATAAGGTTGTCTTTCAAAGATGAAAATAACTCTGGTTTTGGTTTATACAAATAAATGATTTGAGTTGAATTAGGATGTAATTTTGTTTTTCCTCTACGTCTTTGCAGACCTTTATTGTTCTCAGTAAAGACAAAATCATCTACAGGTTCAACGGAGAACCAGCTTGTTACCTGCTGAGTCCCTCCAACCCTCTGAGGATCTTCTCCATCAGGATCCTCATCCATTCATATCCTTTATGTCTTTATCATGTAACTGTGGTTCTTTCCTTTTCTTAATAAGCCAATAGTTAAATTTTAAAAAGAGCACTTGAGCACTGAAAAACACAGAATCTTGCTGAGTAAAATTTGTCTAGTTTCTAGAGCAAATATCTTAATATACTTGAAATAAGACAAAACTAACTCACAGCTAGGCGATTGTTTTCAGTCAATCATTTCTAAATATTGATGAAAAAGTTCTAGTTACACTGGGAGATTATTTAACTTATAACAAGACATTTTTCCCATGTTATACGAGAAATAATCTGCCAATGGAACAGGAACATTTTCATCAATATTTAGAAATTATTGACTTTAAATAAGCTCCTAAATGTTGCTGAAATGTCACTTGTAAGCTAGTTTTATCTTATTTCAAGCGTACTAAAATGTTTTCACTAAAAATTAGACCCAAAATACGTGGTAAGATTTGTGATTTTGCAGTGCAGGTTGTTCCTGTCAAAAGAAACAAGGTTTTGATTTCTAATTTTAGCTGAGACAGACATGCTGAAGAGCAAAGGAAATTGACAGAAGATGATATAATGAGCTCTAATCATCAGTTGACCAACTGACATATATATTGTAAAAACTTTCCAAGGTAAATTCTGCAGAGTTGTGATAGGAACATCGCATGAAACTGCAGATTTGGACCGCCGCATTTCAGTAAAGTTTAACCGACTTTACCTCTAGAGTGTTGGTCGTTACTGAAAGCATTATGGAGACCGTCTAAGTTTGTAGAGATGTGGTATATTATTGTGCTCTACTATGAAAAACATGAGCAGATAAATGATAATATCTAAAAGATGGAGCCAAAACAGAACCATGTAAGAGTAACGACTAAACCGCAACAGACCTTTAATAAACCACAAAAAGCCAGAATGGAGTCAGAATCAAAGTCACAGGAGAACCAGGGGCAGAACTGGAAAGATCCAGAACCAAGAAACCTGAAAGAAATGACTAAATAAAAGCACCATGTGACTTAGAGTAACCAATCAGCATTCAGAACCCACTGAAAGAAGCAGAAGGGTTTTTGTTGAGCTGAAAACTGATCCTTTTCCTTAAAACTAAAACTTTATTCAGTTTTTTCATCATAGCGACTATCCTGACCGACTGTGTGTTCCTGGCCATGAGTGACCCTCCAGAATGGAGCAAGACAGTGGAGTAAGCACACACACACACACACACACACACACACACACACACACAGGCTCAGTTTATGGAAGCTCATTTCTACCATAATATATATCATATCAGTTAATATTGGTTATCCACCATAATATCAGTACTATCAGTAATATCTGTACTGAAAACCAAATGCCAAAGGTGACCTATGACCTATGCAGAAGATGTAAACAGATGCTCAGTATGTTGGGGTCTTGTCTCAGATCATGTCTTCCTGTTGTTGGACAGATATGTGGTCATGGTGATCTACACGTTTGAGGTAATCATCAAAGTTTTATCCAGAGGGTTCTGTGTGGGAAACTTCACCTTCCTCAGAAACCCGTGGAACTGGCTGGACTTCATGGTCATCAGCATGATGTAAGAATTAAAACATTCCTGGACACATTGCATCCCACTCAGATTTGTTGATATTAACTTAGTTACGATGCTGAAGATAAATGAGAAGATAATGAGGAACGTCTCTGTTTGACAGATACCTAGCAGAGTTTGTCCCCTCTGAAAATGTATCAGCACTGAGGCCATTCAGAGTTCTTCGAGTCCTGAAAATCATCACAGTATTCTCTGGTCAGTATGTCCGTTTCATTACAGAAAGATGCCTGTTTGTATGGAGTCATGAAGCTGTTGGGACTGACAGAATAAATGCTCCGTTCAGAACGAATGCAATCTTAGTGTCGGAGGCGTTTGATTTACATGCAAAGTCTATGTGGAGGCAGATCTACGGCTCGTCTCGCTGAGCGTTTTAAGCATTTTATGCATCTGGCGTTGCATGCTTGAAGCATTTGAGTGCAGCTACAAGACGGCCGACGCTGGAGCTGGAAAATCAGAACTTTTGCAGCTGATTTTGCAGATTCCAGTTTTGCAAAATGTTCACCAATTATCAATTTAGGGCAGTGTGTTTTCCAGAAGCCATCTAAACAACCTGTCGATAAATTATATCATATGGCTAAGCATATCATCACTGCTTTGTGCAGATTATTTTAAATTTTTTTCATATACAACTGCACCTAGAAAAAAAAACTTATCATTCCTAAACTAAACCTTACATGATGAACTGACTAATTGTAACTAATTGTTCTGTGACTTTCTCTGCAGGCTTAAGGACAACCTTTGGTGCTGTCATCCAGTCAATGAAGAAGCTGCGTGATGTCATGATTCTGACCTTCTTTTTTGTCAGTGTCTTTGCTCTGATTGGTTTTCAGCTTTTTATGGGAAACCTCAGACAAAAATGCGTTTTGACCCTATCAAGCAATAGCAACACATCAGGAGCCTTCAACATCAGTTCCCACGGAAACAACAGCAGCGACTTTGATTTCTACACACACATTAACAACCCAGGTAGCATGTTGAGTATTTTACCTCACAAATCACAAACATCCACCTGAAAAGATGCAAACATCAACCTGTCCTTGTGTCTCACAGACAATTATTACCACCTACCTGGTCAACTTGATGCTCTGCTGTGTGGAAACAGCTCTGATTCAGGGTAGCTTTAAGTAAATATTACTATTACTATTAACATTATTGATTATGGTGATAATGATGATGATGATGGTGTATCCAGGACCTGTCCAGATGGATACATGTGTCTGAAGGCAGGGAGAAACCCAAACTATGGGTATACCAGCTACGACAGTTTTGGTTGGGCGTTTCTGTCTCTGTTCAGACTCATGACCCAGGACTTCTGGGAAAACCTCTTCCACCTGGTCAGTACCCTACAGCTCCCTAATGCTGAGGCTAGTCCTAGCATCATCTCACCTCTGTTTATCTGTGTAGACGCTGCGAGCTGCAGGTAAAACCTACACCATCTTCTTCGTGGTCGTCATCTTCCTTGGTTCCTTCTACCTCATTAATCTCATCCTGGCGGTGGTTATCATGGCGTACGCTGAGCAAAACAGGGCTAACATCACCAAGGCCAAACAGAGAGAAAAGGAGTATGCCCGCATCCTTAAGGAGTTAAAGAAGAGAGAAGAGAAGGTACAATGTAATGGAGGGAAAGCTTCCATCACGTTTCAGTACAAAGCTGAATGTTTGTTTTCTTTACATCAGACGGTCAAGAGGGCGGCGCCCTTGGAGAAAAACGGCTCTGCATCTCAGAGCCATGAGGAAGATACTACCACGGATGGTACACAGACACACTGATCATTTTGGTGTTGTGCAGCAATAGGTGTCTAGCATTGGATATAAATAACAATAATTGCTTAGAGCAATTATTTATAAATTTGTAATTTACATTTAAACTACTAAGACAGGGCAAGACCTCAACATCAGAAAAAAAATATTAGCTAAATAATTAAGTCTCGGTTATTGTTGACTGATAAGTCAAAAATTTTAAAGTAATAGGTGAAGGCATAAATACAAAAAACTTTTCTCAAATATACAATTATAACTACAGTGATCATCAAAAAAATTAAAAATTTACACAACCTGCATTCATAGGGTTCCTTCTGCAGACTTCTGAGTTCAATAAAATACCTAATAAAGGACCCAGAGCTCCTGGGACATGCAGCAGCGTTTTCTCTGCCGGAAGGGTTTAAGGTAGTGGACCTTCTCTCCAATGCTGCCCTCCCAAGCATCTCTGAGATTCCTCTTCCTGTTGAACCTCCTGTCATTATTCCATTGCTGGAAGTCCAACACTGGACTTACTGTCTCTAAATCTGGGACTCGTATTAAGCCTTGTTCTGGTTCTGCAGGTTTCTACTGGTTAAAAGGAAAGAAGTCCACCCTACTTAAGCTTGGTCACTATGGGGGAAATCTGTGAAATCAATCATTTGTCAACTGGCTTCATCTCAATTACAAGTATTCTAAATCTTAGCCATTCAGTTAGGTTTATCTTAAATTTTCTGGAAAAATCCCAAAGATGAAATAAACTGAAAAGCAACAATAAACAGATTAAGGAAAAAAAGCTCTAGCTGGCACTTAATTATTCTGAGCACGGGATGTAAATGTTAAGTTACATCCAGCTTTGTGTTTCAGACCTTGAGGACAACCAGGAGCCACGTTCTTCACGCCGCCACGTCGTTGCTGACACCTTCCTGAAGTGGGATTGTTGTGGCTGTTGGAGATGGTTAAAAAAGCTTCTGCATACTATTGTCATGGATCCATTTGTGGACATCACCATCATTGTCCTCTACATTATCTTGATGGCCACTGAGCACTATCCGATGACTCCGGAGTTTTATGAGCTTATCAACACTGGAAACCTGGTCAGTAACAGAGAGGAGAAACTGAGTCAGTGTGCATGTAGTGAGGCCAAGACTGATGTTAGGTTTCAGTGTAATATTTAATGAAGTTATTTAGTTTTGTGTGTGACCTAGAACCAAACACTAACATAGTAGGTTCAGACACTTTCACCAGCACATATAAACTCAGGTAACAGGTTAATCTATTGGGTTAAGGTGGGATGTTAGGGTAAGAGGGGAGTGGGTGATAGGGTGCTGGGTCCTGATAACAGACTGTAATAGTGGGTTTAGGTAACAGGTTGTGACGGCAAGTTTGAGTTGCAGGTTTGGGTGGCAAGTTTAGGTAGGAGATAGAGCTGACGTGGGGTTGATAGGTCAGGGTAACAGGGTAGCAGGTTCTGGCATTATAATTAGGGAAAGAAATTGGGTAACACATTAGGCTAACAAGCTTGTAATGTTAAAGTTAAAGAGGTAGAGAAATTATCTAACGTGTGATTTTTGACCCCCAGGTGCTTACAGGGATCTTAATAGCTGAGATGGTTCTCAAAATTCTGGCGATGGATCCATATCATTACTTTCAGGTCAGGATTACATTTCAAAACTAATGGCACAGTTTTGATGGTGTGCGGAAACTCCCGTGGTTACAGTCTCTTGTTGTCTTGGTTTCAGGAAGGCTGGAATATCTTTGACAGCATTGTCGTCGCCATGAGTCTGGTGGATCTAGGACTGGCTAATGTTCATAGACTAGCTGTGTGGCGGCCCCTCAGATTGGTTGGTTCATCATTTTCTCAGCATGATTAAAAAGTGACCTTGCTTCTGTATTATTCTGTCCTAATGTCTCTGTTTGCCTCCTTGTGCCATGTCCAGATAAGAGTGTTTAAGCTAGCCAAGTCGTGGCCAGCTTTCAACATGTTGATAAAGATCATCCGCAACTCTTTGAGAGCCCTGGTGAACTTGACGCTGGTTCTCGCCATCATTGTCTTCCTCTTCACTGTATTTGGGATGCAGTTGTTTGGAAAGAGCTACAAAGACAGTGTCTGCCGCATTGCAATAGACTGTGAGCTTCCTCGCTGGCACATGAACGACTTCTTTCATGCCTTCCTCGTCATCTTCAGGATTCTGTGTGGCGAGTGGATCGAGACAATGTGGGACTGTATGGAAGTTGCAGGGAAGCCTATGTGTCTGATTGTCTTCATGATGGTACTGGTGATTGGAAAACTAGTGGTAAGTCTAAGTCTCTTTCTAATCTGGGTTTGGTCAATTGTTAAACACTTTCAAGATATGAATATGCTTCTGACATTGTTTCAGGTCCTGAATCTGTTCCTGGCCTTGCTGCTAAGCTCGTTCAGTGGGGACAATCTTGCAGTTACAGAAGATGAAGGAGAAAACAATCTCCAGATTGCCATAAACCGGATCAGCAGGGGTACAGCAAGGACCAAGGCCTGGTTCTGGACTTTGCTGGGAAAGAAAACAAACGTAAACTCAGATGTAAATGGTGGGAACAGATACTTGTTAAAGTATAAACATTAGTTTAAGGTTTATCTTTTGGTCTTCATAGTTATTTTTTCTTTGCATTTTATGATTTTAGATGTAACCTGTGAAGAAGGGGACAAATCAAAGGAAGTTTTACCTCTGACAATCGTGAATTCAGAGCAGTCGGTGGTAAAAGTCCAAGACTCCACAGTAACCAAAATCTGCTTTGAAGCCAAGTCTGACTCTGAGATATCTAAAAATAAAGATGGAGAAGATAATGAGAAGGACGATCAAGATGAACAGCTTGCACAAGTAAAATTTGAGGTTTTTGGTTCTGTTACAGACTTGATTGTGCTGCAGTGGTTTCCTTTCACATTCATGGAGAATAAATGCCTGTGGAGCCTTTTAAATGCATTCAGGAAGAACCTCTTAATAAATACTGTGTGATGTTCATGCTAAGGTCTATCTTTGCTTAGGGTGGTAAGTCTTTGGACTGCAGTGACACCGAGAGATTTCCTGTAATCTCAGTCATAAAAGAGGTAGACGACACTCCTGATGACTGTTTCACAGAAAGTAAGTGCACTGACAGAAAAATGTCTACTACCTTAGAATGTGATCATTGAATTTAAAATTAACTGGGCCCAGTGGATTATCTATAGAATGAGAACACTGCAGAAATAGTTCAGACAGTGCCCCATTGTATGGTCAGTGTGGTGGGCGATCAGGCTTTACCTGCTCCCCCAACAAGCGAAGCATTGTTTATTTAGGGTTTTTTTATACACCAGTAACATTGACAGTAAAGATTATAGTAAAGATTATAGTTGAGGCATTGAACTGGCCTGAGGCAGGTCCAGGAACACCAATTGCGTCGTCCCTGAACCTGCCCGTTGGCCGTAACATTTTTTAACACAAAAGCAGTGGGCTGGTGGACTGCCATGGTGCCCCTACCACTGGGCTTAGCAGGTTTTCTGGGGGAAACCCTCCTCCAGTTTCACATTTCTTTTTATCAAGTCAGGGTTGACTTGGATCCATGCGTATGCCTTATTTCCTTGTTCCCACTGAGAAGTGCAACGTACGTCAGTGCAGTTCAGTATGCTTCTTAATCTGCTTCCATTGTGCATTAATGGAAGCAGACATTATTGCTTACAGGCGATGCAACTGTAACGAGTGTAACTGACAAAAACCCTTTTTGGACACAGCTAAAATTGTCTCTGTGTGGACAGGTCCTCAGTGTGAAGACCCATTCTATCCCGTCGTTTAGCCCCATAAACAATATTTTTAAACTGTATGTTTTTATTTCAGAGTGTTACAGTTGCTGTCCATGCCTGGACATAGACACGTCCCAGACCATCGGAAGGATCTGGTTATATATCAGGAAAACTTCCATCGCCATCGTAGAGTCCAAGTACTTTAAGTCATTCATCATCATCATGATCCTGCTGAGCAGTGCAGTCCTGGTAAACTCCATCAGACAATGTTTAAGATAATTTTAGCTGATCTAATCCCTTGTTGTTGATGTCTTTAACATCTCAGTGTTTTACTCTGAGGCTTGCTTTATTGGTTGGTTCAATGGGGCTGAGCAGGTTTTAGCAAACTAATCTGATGGTTGGCATGGCTAGCTGTGGACCACAAGCTTGGCTGACATTGTGACAACCAACATGGCTGCTAAACAGACACATGTGAGATGATTTGACTTAATTAACCCCTTCTAAAAAAGAGAATGTTATAAAAACAAATAACAGTAGACCAAGACCAATCTGATCCCTCTATTTTTCTGTGTAATGGAAACTCTAAAATTAAATACTACTTGACTTTTTATTGGCTGAAGTTTGCAAAGCACCAGCACAGGAGCAGTTATTCCTTTTCTTTGGAACTGATTGCCTGTTTAGGGAAGACTGGAGATCTTACTTTCTGCAGTAGTGCTAAGAGGGTTCCCACCTGGGGTGCACTGATTTATCGGCCAGCCTATTTGCTTCATTTTGGGAGTTTGGTGATCAGCTGATACTTACATGTGAAGCCGATCTTATCTACCTCAGCAAAGATCTAAAAATCTACCATTGTCCTCTTTTGTCACCCCACTGTTGCAATGACTTCCTTGCTATATTTAGCAATATTTCAGACCAAAAAATGGGTATTGACCAAAATAGAAATTGGCATTTCAGGCTTTTTATCGGTAATCTGCAATTGTCCAGAAAACTTCAATCTGTCATGATTCAGGTTTTGGGTGAGGTGAGGTAAGACGCAGGCATGCCCAGGATGATGAAAATAATTAATTTTAATGAAATGTCCAAAACAGAGACGGCACAGGGAACAGATTGACGACATAACACACGACGAGGATCCGACACAGACAAAGACAACAGGTGGGGTTAAATACACAGGGAAGGTAATCAGGGATCGGGATACAGCTGCGAGCAATCAACAGGGAAGACAGATTCACAGGGGAAACTGGACTAACACAGAAAAACTACACAGAAAACACAGATCCTAACAGTACCCCCCCCTCAAGGGCAGCTACCAGATGCCCAACAGAAAACAACAACAAAAAAAACAACCCATCAGGGTGGGCGGAGGGGCGATGGAAGGAGGGCCAGAGTCCAGAACAAAAAACCACCCATCAGGGTGGGCGGAGACCCAGGAGGCAGACCCCTCGAAAGAGGTCCGGCGGGCGTCGCCGGCGCAGGAAACGGAGTCCCAGAGACGGGTC